GTAAGGAATGTTTTACATTTTTAAGACCCCCCCCCCCAACAATGTAATTGTTCGTTTCGACAGCAAGGTGGCTAGCTAGCCGCTAGCTGTCTCTTCTGTTAGCCGCTAACTAATGCTAGCTTTTTCTTATCGTTCGTGCGTCCACTCTTGCATTATTTTATTAACATCCAGCAATTAATGACTTTAAGTAGTTGGCAAATGAAAATAAATCCAATATTATCACTTGATTTCTACTTGGCTGGTACTAGCCGACACCGCTCCTGCATTTGGCTTGATTATAATATGCCAAACAGTATTTTTTAGAAAATATTAACTTTCAAAAGTGATTGCTGTGATATCCCGAGTAGTTTCCTTCACCATAATAGATCACAGCGGAGGCTGCCGAGCAGCGTGAACCTAACGTTATTCTGAAAGTTGTAATTTTAATTTAGGATAAATTTAATCTGGTGAGAAACAGCGTTTGCCTGCTTGTATTTGTAGTTGCAAGAAAGCGAACCAACCGTAAAATGTCACATTTTCTGACGTGGAGTCTGAACATATGGCAACGTCCTGGAAGTGAACGCATTGCTAGTTAGCATTAGCTGGTAGCTGCTGAGAGGTCAGCCTCCAACTAATTCTAAGGACCTCTCCGGTAGCTAACGTTAGGGCTGATCGGCTAGCTTTGTTTGTGGTGTGGGTTAATGTCATTATCGCCTCCGCCATATCACCTCATACGTATAGCGTTTTCCTTGCTGGCTGTCTTTGACTGCCAAGTTTTGTCGGCTTAACATTAGCGTTCAATATTGTATGTAGTTACGTGTTAGTAAGTACGATAGCATCCTGAAATGTTACCAGATAAGTGTTTAATTATACGAGTAGCTACCTTGACTTGTGCCGTTGACCACAATACGAAACACAGACAACTGAAACACGCATTATAGTAACAAAAAGCTAAACTAAGTTAGCCATCACTAACTTGGTGCCATCTTAACACTTACAGTGTCATTGAGAGTTCTGTTTTGTCACGGGATAGAAACTGGAGTATCTGAGTAAAGTAACATTAGATCACTAGCAATAGTTTTCATATCACTTTGGGAATTGTCAAATGTTGCCGCAGGATTTTCACATCACTCATCTCGTTACCATTATTGTGAAGAGAACAAGACACTCGTGGAGACTGCCAGCCAGACTTCATCTACTGTATTTTTAGCATTTTAATCGAATGTGACTTAGACAAGTACGTTATACGTCAGCTGTAGTTGCTGATCGTTTGTCTCGTTCTTTCAATACACGTGAAGAACATTGTGATAATTCTTGATAAGCAGTCATTCATATGTTATGACTTTGTGTACCTGCCCTGAGTCTGGTTTTGTGGCGATGGTTGAACTGACAGAGACGCTTTTGCAGGCTTACCGCCGTGTAAGGTCACACAAGAGCCTGTGAGCTATTTAGGTCATGCTGATTAAACACAACTCTTCAGTTTGGTGCATTCTTCAATGCTTAATGTCGCAAAGGTTGGTGTTGGTTAACTTTTATAATGGCATATGGCAATGTGAAGGTGCTTGTCATAAGGTTGTATTCTGTGTAGACTTTGCATTCATGTTTGAGTTTGTATGATGCAATTTATAAGCCCGCAACTAGTAGTATCCACTGCACATGAAAGATTGTTGCAGCATATTACTAGTAAGGACACCTTGTTGGTGTTAATGGCAGACTGGGTTGATGTTGGGCATTTAAGATATCAAATAAAAAGTAATAATAAAAGGACCTAGTAACAAAAATCAGCTCCTGCAAACGTTGTACATTTAGTAAATATTTGCATTTTGGATCGGTAGCATCAAGAAAATCACCTCAGAAACGTCGCCATGCAAAAATACAGCTTTTAGCAAATTGAGATGAAATGCATTTGGTCAATTTTTAAAGTTCAATAAATGCATGAACTTTGAACTATCAATGAATAATTGTGTTAAATAATCATGATTTCAACATAATACCCAAAGCAAATAATTGCTGATTATAATTTTTGCAATAATTGAGCAGTCCTAACAGGCTAAGAACAATGACTTTCGTGTACCCGCCGTAATGTCTGTGAATCCAAGACCTGCTTTAGCTTATTGGTCTTTGTCTTAGACCTCCATCGTTGTCCAAAAACTGCTTTGTCTTTTGACATTATGTGTAGTGCCTCCACACCAGCGATAGCTGTGGCCAGAGATGTTATGTTTGTATGTTCTATCCATCTGTGTCCATACATCCTGATCTCATGAACATGATACCTCAGGTACACCTTGAGGGATTTTTTTTAATTTGACACAGACATGCTCTTGGACTCTAGGGTAAAGCGACTAAATTTTGGTGGTCAAAAGTCAAGGTCAGTGACCTTACCTCTGTCTAGTTCCTGTGAATTTGAATTGCTGTTCCAAGCTGTTCCTCGCATTATTAATGATTTGTGATAGTCCTCTCATGTGTACAATTAACAAGCAATCGCTTGAGCTGCTGAGTCTCTCTCTGGAAAAGTTGCACTTTTTGCAAAAAGCCCATCTTGCTGCATTGTGTTTGTAGTATTAGTTCCATAGCATAAATGCAGTGTGACAGGGCAAATAAACCATACAGTGTAATGTTAAGTCTAGTCCATATAACACTGTAGTTAGCAACAAGCATATGGCTATGACTTCATAAACTGATTTTTAAGTAGGCTGCATATGGTTAAGTTGGTTGGTTGTATAATGCAGCAACTATAAAGAAACCGCTGTATTTGCTGATGTAGGCCCTACCAGTAATGTAGGTTTGACATTACTCTGTCAGAATAAATCAGGTCCACCACCCCATCACAAGTAAAAGATCTGTATAAAGGAGATGTATTATAAAATTGGTTTTGCATGTTTTCCTACATGATTATAAAACATGCTGCATATTTTGATGAACATACAGTACCATATTTCTCCATGTAAGCAATAATAATCATGTAATTAAACATAACCAAAATACAAGCAACACACACACACACACACACACACACACACACAGAACAGCAACTGTGCACTGGCTAATAGCAAAGCCAGATTTACACAGTAAACATTGTATTGACGATAAAATGGTGACCACCAACACTTATTTACTCCATCAGCCGGCTATGATCTGACAGCAAGCATACACACAGTACACAGCATATGCAGGAGCGGCCTTGCACTTGCTAATATGAAAGCCAGCTTTACAAGATATCTTGGTGAGAGCATTAACCACAGACGTTTCACAGGCAGAGCAGGTGTCATCAGACAAACAGTTAATAATAGGCTAAGGTGCATTTAAGCCTATTGTACAAGGGTGGTGCATGAAAAACTGGTCTTGCCTTACGGTAATACTCCAAAAGTGTTCTTGTCCTCCGGACTCACACTGATGAAACTTTATATCATGACATTTATATCCAAATGTTTGACAATGTCACCATGCATATGCATGAGTGTAAGGTATATGGGCTACCATTGTGTGGGCTGCAGGTGTGGGTGCAGCTGTCAGTTGTTGCTTCTGATCCAAAAGGTTTTGCTCTTTTTGGTGTATTAGTAAAAAAAAAAAAAAATCAGAAATTTACTTTTGCTCCACCATTTTCTTATACTTTTGCCTGCCTGTTTGCAACAAGTGTCAGACCTTACACAGTTGTTGTGGTTTGGCTAAACCAACTCATCTCATCTCATCTTCTATACCACTTAGTCCCAAATGGGGTTACGGGGGGGCCGGAGCCAAGACGGGGTACACCCTGGACAGGTCACTGGTCCATCGCAGGGCTGGCTAAACCAACTGGAAAATTTGAATCCCAAAATCCACTATAAACCACTTATGATGATAAAAAAATCTAATTAGAACGTAACCAATAAAAACACATTTAAACATGTATGTATGTTTTATATTTATAGCTGTAGCGGACATTCAGGTCCTCTACCATCCTCCAGGGAGTGCTGCAACACCCTCCTCCACACCCCTTCTTCTCATGGCCTTGGCTCCAGACTAACATTTCACACTTGTGGCACTGGTGCCACCAAGTCTCTCAGATGGTGGCTCCAGTGCCAGCTTTGGTGGCAACACCAATGATAATGCAAAAGAATGAGTGTTTTTTGCAAATTATTTTAAATAACCTTACCATCTAATGTGCATAGCCTGTATTTATAATTAAATTCAGAGAGGGAGACTTATGGAACACAATAAATGGGAAAATCACTTCTGGAACAAGTTTCCACCTCTTTTCATTTAGCCAGTGTAGTGCTCTATAGCCTAGCAGTCAACATGATATTGATGATGGTGATAATTAGGCCACTATATTTCAATTTTACTATAAAATTGCACACATGATTTGCTGTTTATATACATGATGTATTTGTAGCCCGTTTTTCTTCTGAAGAATTTCTGCTGTTTGTCGATGTCTGTGTTGGATTTCATGCACAGTTCAGTTCTGTCACTCGCCTGCTAGTGCAGCTCATCTTTGGGCTACAGTTAGTAGCCTACGTCTTAAAGAAAGATTGGTGCGTTTCAGCCAGTGCTAACTTCAAACTGGGACTCAACTAGATGTGAGCAGCCTGTAAATGTTTTTGATCTGGTCATTCCACAATGACGCCAACCTCCTGTGGTGGCTCTTGTCAGAACAGCTGTCTGTAAGCAGGAGGACAGCATGGTCTTCACCAGGCCGACTGGCAGCAAAAATGTACTGGACAAAAATAGTTTTCAGCAAGGAATCAGCAGCATTAATATTTTCTGATTTATTTATTAATTTCCCTATCTTGGACAGGGGAAAATAAAACCAGAAAGCTCACAGTGATACCAGGAGCCTGATCCATCACAAGAGAGTCAAGTGAAAAGTTTCCAGCATGTAAATAGGCTAACAGGTGATCTACCTGATTTAAGCAGCTGTTTGTGGCGATTACACTTCAAATGCACTAAAGGAAAAAATGGACTGAAAGCATAAAAAAGGCCCAGGGATGATGTGTGTCATTGCAGATTGACAAACTGGAAGTTTATGCTATGTGAGATGGATGATTGACAGACAGATGAACGTTGTGGTGACAGTATTGTGGAGATTGTTACATTTGCTCACCATTCCTACAGTTTTTTTTTTTGCAGTCACACTGTACGATCTTTGGAAAAAGTCAGTTGCATCTCAAATAAGTCATGAACTGGTCACTGGCAGTCTGGAGCCCTGTAAATGCATATTTATGAAGCAAATGTCCAAGGATTGTACGTTCAATAAGGATTCCTTTGTTGCAGCTGGCTGGCAGGCAGTTCTGTATAAGTGAGTGCCTATGTTACCAGTCCTCCAGAAGCACACAGTGTTCAACCTGCATGTAAAATCATTATCTTCCCCAGAGATTAGTCAAAGGGCTTCCTCCTCTTCATTCATCCTCAAGCACCGGCACACTGCACCACTCCAGCTGCAGACGTCCACAACAAACACTCACAGCTGCTTCAGCAGCTCCTCAGCAGGCGCTTTCTCTCTTTACATTTTTTTTTCATACCCGTTGATACTTACATGCATTTACATAAAACCAGCTGATCCCTTTTCACAGGTGACAGGATTACGCCAAGCAAAAGTGTGAATTTAAGCTGCAGCCTCTGTGTTGGTAGATGGTGTCATATCTCTAAGGTCCAGCATGTTTTATTTCCTGGATCATTGATCCATCAGCTTCCTCTCTCATTGATACACTGAGCTAGTGCAATGCTACTGGAATTGGATCATTCTTTAATTTGTCTCACTAGGCACCAAGACGAGATGGATGTCCTCAATATAAAAGAATAAATCCCTTCTTTCCTCACAGTGTCTTGGAGCTAGAACCATTCATGTCAAACACATGGCTTTGCAAATCCCTGGTTTGGTGCTTTAGCCAATGTTATGTAATGTGGTAATGTTATGTTCCTTCACTGTGAACAAGGAGGTGATGCTCCCCCTGGTTGGGCACCCCATCAGTGTGTTAAGTAGGGCAAGAAATCCTCTCCCTGTCTGAATCCTTTCTTCTCCATCTCTGCTTGTGGTGGTGCATCAGAAACTTACTGATACCATCCTCAGGCTCTGTGTCCCTGCTTGTGGGAGGACCAGATGGAGCTTGACATGAAGTCACACTGCTGTGCAAAACTGCATTAAAAGCTATAAGGAAGCACTTTGTTGGTGGTAGTGGTATGATCAATAATAAATGATGGGGAGGTGTGATCAGTATGAAGTGTAAAGGCTGATCTCTCTCGTTTCAAGCATTTACAAAAAAAAACCCTACTCAAACAACCCAGCAATTACACAGCAGTTACAATGAACAGTGACCTCTTTTAAAACCAATTTAAGCAATTGTTTTGCACAAATCACTCACTAATGTACAGCAAACTATTAAAATTAGTATTAGTGTTTCATTAAGTAGCAAATGAAAAACTCTGAGTTTGTATAAGGGCATTGTGGTCAACATTACTGTACTGAAATAGTCACCAAACTGGTCATGACAAAAGTTATGGATGATCTAGGGTAAAAAAAAAAAAAACCTTGGATATTCTCACTGGTATAGAACATAAGATGAGATTTCAGTTGTTTTTTTTTTTTTTTAATGAGTCTAAAAAAAAATCTAAAAGAATGTTTTTATGTTGTCATGATGGGTTGAGTGTAGATCGATGGGTGAAATGGCAGTTTTATCCATTTAATATTAAATCTCCAACACAATGCAAAAATTGAATGGGTATCAGATTTTCTGAAGCCATTATAGATGTTATATTTTAGGCTTTGGATGGTTTTGTTTCATTTTGTCATAACATAGACTCTTCTTGTCGTGTCCACACATGGACATGCAAAAAAAACAATGTAAGACAATTTTTAGCAAGTAAAACAGTGATGTGCATAAAACTCAAGCACGTCACAGGGCAAAACCAAAGGTTAAGTAACTTATTGTCATGGGACTCTGGTCAACAATTTTATAATTGGGGAAATAAATTAACAGTGCAGCTTATCTGGACAATGACAGCTGATTATGGGCTTCTAAGTGTTTTTGTTGGCACGAGTCTGCCAGTATCATGATCGTATCTCAGAGTGGAGCTTGTGGACTTGTTGACAGATGGGGAGAGACCCAACGTAGGGGACGTGATATTTTTCCTTTTCAGACGAAGGGCTTGTCTGTACTGTAGCTTTATCGTGGACAGCTTTTTCGCCTCGGTTCTGTACCGGAAACAAATTCCTTGTGTGTGTAACATGCTTGGCCAAATAAAGTGATCATTATCATTGATTATCATTGCTCCGTGTGCATTTACACATGGATGAACATGAACCTTTTTTCCAGTGGTCGAAAGTAAATAAGTACATTTACCCAAGTACTGTACTTAAGTGCAATTTTGAGGTATCTGTACTTTACTTGAATATTTTCAATTTGTGCTACTTCAACTTCACTACATTTCAGAGACAGATATTGTACTTTTTACTTCACTACACTTATTTTATAACTTTAATTACTAGTTACTTTTCAGAACCACATTAATACAAAAATTACTGAATAATCATTACTTTATTGATTTCCGAAAGGAAAATCCACAAGCTACCAAGCGCTAATTCAAATTAAATGCATATAAGCTAATTAGAACTAGGTCCCCCTTTACCAGCTGCAACATTAAATGTGATGTAAACAGTAATGCATCAGGAATTATAATTCAGTTTGATACACATTCATGTTAAATGTGCCATTCTGCATAATGAGTACTTATACCTTTAGTACTTTTAAGTATGTTTTCATGCTAATACTTTTACTCAGTAGTTAAATTGGCATTGATGAGGAGGGGGAGCCCTTGGGGTGGGGGGGCTGCTGGGACCTGCTGTTGTCTGCTAAACAGGCATAAGAGCTCCTTGACATGACCAGCTGGAAGAGGTGGAGCACCGTATTCACAACATGAACCACTGATAAAGGAAACTAATTTTGGTACCTGGAATGGTTCCAACTAGACTGGTGGATATTTGATGTGGCATCATGGGCAAAGTAGAGACATTTATCTGTGAGTTCTGTGTACATTACATCTTAATCATATTTCAAATTTTCCACATTCATTTTGCTGCAAATCAAAGCTCAGTCGTATAAGACGGCTCAGTGCTGTGTGTGGAGAAGATTACATGTGGTTAGCAGGATGGACTGTGAAGACTTTGGATTTGATGGCGGAGGCTGAGGCCTGCTGGCACATATAACAAGTCACACATTCATACATACAGAATATAGTGAGCTAAGTATACTAACAGATTGATCACTAAACGGGGTGTTGGTCTGTGTTTTGTGTTTCTGGTTCTTCAGTGGTGATTATGTTAGAATTTTGATGAGGCTTAGTAAACCTTCACTACTTCAGCAGCCGCAGCATAACAGCTGCGAGTCAATGACCAGTAACCTTACTGTTCACTGTTTTTGAGAATGTTGAACGAAAGGCACAAATGAATGGGGATGTTTGTGAAAAAGCAATGTTGTGTTAGTGAAGTCCAGGGGGTCTGAGACACAGGCTCTCGTTCTCAGTAGATAGAATGTAGAGGTGATAAAGCTGGGGCCCACTGCGGACCACCTGCTGTCATATACGGTGGCCACAGAGTAACTTTTTGTGGCCACACTTGATGTTGAACCCTGCGTTTACAGTACGTTAGGATTTTGCTCCCAACAAAATTTAAAATTTGGAGAACAGTGACTTCTCAAAGGCCACTGCATTTGTGTGTTTACTACACTATACAGTGTTCCCCTTGACTTACTTGTATTTGTACTGTATGCCCATGCCCCTTAGTTACCAGTGTCATTTTTAGTTAAAAGTGTTGGCATTGTGTGTAACCCTCTGACACATTTTTCTTTTCTTTGGACTAGAGATGACTAGTGGAATCAAGGAAATGTCATGGTTTGTCTAACTTTCTAAGAGCTTGTCATTAATGTAAACTGTAGCCTTCAGTCTGTCTGCAGACTCCATTCACCCACTGCATTTGATGACACATTATGTAGTTTAGTCACCAAACAACTTATTTTGTTAATTTAAAATGCAACAGTGGTCTTGTGTATGAGAGAGAGAATAATAACACACTGTTACTGTTCCCTTGTTTACAGAGTGGGCATGCAGCAGGCAAACCCAGTAATGCTACAGGTCCCTTGTCCTCATCTACAAAAAGTGCGTAGTGCTGCTAATTGTATTTGTGGTTTGAATATAATGCCACAAAATAATTATTTCAGTTGGTTGTAGCAGTGCTTTCTGAACATTTTCAGCACATTTTAAAAATACTGTTAACACTGATAATCATGATAATTTAGGTCACTATAATCGTGTTATTACATTTTTCTATGCTGTAGTACACTTGTATTTATTCTGACTTTAACAAAGCATACAACATGTGTTTCTTGCCCCACCATCGAGGGGCCAAAAGTGGTTCCCTTAGAAGTCAGTGGATGTTGGCGTTATGAGGTGGGAGAGAGTGAAATCATTACATTATGGGGCAAGTGAAAAATCAGAGTGGCCCACTGCCAGAACTACATGCTTTGGTTAACACCCTGCAGTACACATATAGTTCTGTAACTGTACCTTACACATCAGATCAGTTGATAGTATAACCTGAATTCAGCGTCCATTTCCTGAGCTGGCAGGGGCTGGCTCGCCTAATGGCTTCTCAGTGTTGTAGGGACAGGCTTCCAATTAAAGCTGTGGGTCAGGCTGAATGCTTCCTCTGCAGCAGGTTAGCCAAAATCTGCTCTTTTCTGCCATTACACTCGCATGTTAGCAGACCTGATGAGATTCAGTAACAATCATGTAGAGATGTCTGTCCAGAGGAGACCTGGACTGTCAGAGGAATAACCTGGTGTAATTCTGTTTTTCCTTGGAATTTCTTATGAGGCATGGTCACACATACAGTCAGGTCCATAAATATTGGGACATCGACACAATTCTAACATTTTTGGCTCTATACACCACCACAATGGATTTGAAATGAAACGAACACGATGTGCTTTAACTGCAGACTGTCAGCTTTAATTTGAGGGTATTTACATCCAAATCAGGTGAACGGTGTAGGAATTACAACAGTTTGCATATGTGCCTCCCACTTGTTAAGGGACCAAAAGTAATGGGACAATTGGCTTCTCAGCTGTTCCATGGCCAGGTGTGTGTTATTCCCTCATCCCAATTACAATGAGCAGATAAAAGGTCCAGAGTTCATTTCAAGTGTGCTATTTGCATTTGGAATCTGTTGCTGTCAACTCTCAAGATGAGATCCAAAGAGCTGTCACTATCAGTGAAGCAAGCCACCTGCATTTTCCCTTCAGTTTTGTCTTCAGCAAGTGAAAT